CAACGATAAGCAGGCAGACCTAGTGTGTGCTGGGCCCATGGCAGCACCTATGACAGCCCATGGCCCAGCCTCATGGCTCACAGTCCAGTTTTGGAGACAGACCTGGCACGCAGCAAGTGGACCTTGAGGGGCAGCGTTGGGGTAGGGGTGCCCAGGCAGATGACTACCTAAGGTGGGGGGGGGGGGTGGTCTCAGCCTGGGGCTTCCTGGAAAAGGAAACACCTGAGCTGAGATCTGCTTTTTTCCAACTTTTACATCAACAGGGAATGGTTTCTTTATCTAAGCCACCGATTAAAAAAAACAAGCTGATGAAGACAGAGCAATGAAGAACCAATGTCAGCTAAGACCAGAAGATGGGGGGACAGGATGAGGGTGGGTAAAAGACAAATCAGGAGCACAACCAGCTGTGTCTGCACACCCCCATTTGGCCACAATCAACCTCAGCTTCTTCAAACCCTCACCTACAGCTGCCTTTCTCTACCCCGAATAAGAGACCTGTTTGAGCAGTCCCAGCCCCTCCTCAAAGCAGCCACCACCAGCCATTGCCCAGTCACCGTCCACAAGCTCAGCAGCTCCAATCCACATGCTGGTCACGTTCACGTATAGGGACAATGGCTGCTTGTACAGGCCAGTACCACAAAGCACCCCACAGAGACTTCTTCCTCATCACCCAGTGAGAGGAGCTGGTCATCACCAGTGTCTTGAGGGAAAATAAAGCTCAGAGAGCTTCCCCATGAAAAGGAGCCTGGAATTCCAGGCCTCCAAGTGACCCAACCCACCTTCTTTCCTCTATACCATCCAGCGACCTGGATGCAAACCGACCTAGTAATACGACTTTAGTAGTAACAAGAGCTAACTGGTCCCTGTGCCGATCCTCACAATATTAAAAAAAATAAAATAAAATAAAAATAAAGCCTTATGAGGAAGGTGGTCTTGTCCCCCATTTATGGCAGACCATTAATTGGCAACCAACATTCACCCCCGCTCCTTCACGAGTACTAAGACTGCTAATAAATATATCTGGCTCAAGGCTGCCCGGATTAAGTCTCCACTTCTTAGCCTTCCTCAAGCGGTACGTGACCACAGGTCTACTTTCTGGCCAGGGGGATGTGCGTGGACGGACCACGTGCAAGCATCTGGAGGCTTTCTTAACAACTGCTATGAACACCCTTTCCCCGTGTCCCCGCCTTCTTCCTCCCTGCTGGATGGACAGAAGTTGTGACAGCTAGGGCTTGAGCAGCCCTGTTAGACGTGGAGGCAGCGCGGGAAGAAAAGCCACAGGCGGCTGAACAACTGTTTCAGCACAAGTGACCACTCTGGGCTTCTACGTGGCAAGGAAACTCACTTCTTTGCTTAAGCCACTCATGTTTTAGGTATGTTATTCACAATCACACCCGATCCTACACATTACATCTTCTCACACGCAGAAAAGGAAAGTAGACTCAGGCAGATTTCACCTGCCCAAGGTCACACTGCCTTAAGTGGACCGCTAGGATTTGAACCCAGAGTCCAAACTCTAAAGACCTAACCATTCTGGTGCTTTGCTTCCTGGCTGCGTCCCATTGGGGCTTGGACAAGTTACTCAACCTTCAACAAATCTCTTCACCTTTTGGAAGCTCTGTTCCTGCACTATAAAGCCTAGATGAAGAGCCGGGAGGTCAGAGAGTCTGGGTTAAAGTGCCAGCTCTGTCCTCTCACTATGTAACTGTAGGCCATGACTCTCTCGACCTCAGTTTGCTCATATGTGAAATGGAGGTAGTAAGAACCACCTCCTGGGCTGGGCTGAGAAGTTCATGAAGTAGAAATACATGTCAATGGCTTCGCACAGTGGTTAACACATAAATGCTCAGCAATATTAGTCATCCTTGTCAGCATCCCCTTTAACACAGGGATCAATACCCACCTCTCAGACCCGCTGAAAAGAGCTACGATGTACCAAAGTAATGGGCGCTATTTCTGGCACACCACAAACTCTCAGTAAATGGCTGCCAGTTGTTCCTGAGCACCGAGAGGAGTTGGTGGCCACTGCCGGAGCCTTAACTATGACCGACACAGGGGGAAACCCCACATCATGATGTTCGTTATTCTGACAACAGCAGAGTCAAGCTCTCCACCCAGCCCTGCGATTCTTTCCCTGGTGACAAAAGGCAAGTGAGGAGCTCTCAGAGTCCCTTCCCGGGGGAACAGCCTCTATCTGCTGGGTGACTGTGGATTCAAAGTCTTTCATCTAAAGTCCTTCTGCTGCATGGAATGATCAATTAAATTAAATTCAGATCAAAATGGTAACTGCTATTGTTAATATTATCTCATTAATTTATACTTTCAAACCACATTTGTTGGGCCTGACCCTGGGGAGCAAAGGTGACCCAAATCTCATAGCTGGGTGTCTGCTGAAGCCCACTCCAAGGAAGGAGGGGGAGCCAGAATGGCATTTAGAGGGAACCTCTGTCTGAATGTGGGTGATAAGGGGAGACTTCCCTTATGACTAAAAGCTGCTAGGTGAGGAGTTATCTAGGTGTGGGAAGAGCTCAGGCAAACATCCTGTGGCTAGAGAAGGCTGCAATTCTGAGGTAAATTTAGGCTCTTTATACATCCTTTGTGTTAGAGAAGTCCACTCAAGGTAGCAAGGAGGGCCGGCGGTTTGAGCAAAGGAACTAGGCAGAGAACAGAGTGCTATTACGTGGGGGAGGAGGGGAGATGAGATGGGACAAAATTCAGATCATGAAGATTGGCTTGTACTGAGGCGCAATGAACAAGGGAGAGGCGTGAGCAAGGGAGGGGCAGGAGCAGCTTTGTGGTTTAGAAAGATTCCTATGGCCCCCTGCGAGGAGGGTGGGTTGGTGGACCTGGACTTGAAGCCAGGAGACCAGGGAGGAAGCTGGGGCAGGGACACAGTAATAGGAAGGAATGTCTATATAAATATCATCTCCAGGAGCGCTGACCTGAGACGGCAAGTACCATTTCAAGCTAAGGTCTCAATAATGGGTGGGCATTAACCTGGTAAAGGGAAGCCTTGGAGGTGCACTCCATGTTCTGCGGTGGCAGAGAGCAAGAAAAAGGCCACGAGCCGCCCAAGGATGAAACTGAGACACCGGTAGAGACCATACCAGGGGGCCCTTTAGGTCACAGGATGGAATTTAGTCTTTTCTCCAAAAGCAGCTAAAGGATCAAAGCACCTGATGGCAGAAGATAGTGGTGAGATTTCACTTAATGCATAATGACAGGACTCCCACAGGGCCTGGAGCCAAAGGCCAGAGCCAAAGCCCATGGATGGCTGAGCGCCTCCAGCATGGTGAACATGGCAAAAAGCAAGGCAGACAATATTCAGGAGGTGGCCAGTCTTGTGTCTGGACTGCTTGGGGTGAAACAAACACTTTCCTCTTCCAGGAGACACCAGTTCCGTACTCTGAGGCTACCCCAAGCAACACAGCATGCCTCGACAAATCAACATCTCTGGTTTTTACCAACCATTACGCTCAAGAATAGGGGGAGGCTTCCCTGATGACTGAATGTTCTTCTGAGGAAACTGGCTCTTGTCTTGGCATATTTCCAAGCCCAAATTTCCCCCAGGATGACCAGGGCCCATCCTCCAGGGGGTGCTCCCACCCCAGACCAGAGGTCAGTGACTCACAATCTTTTCATAGTACTCCCGTCGCCGCTCTGCCCTCTTCTTGTAGTCGACCATCATGCCTCGAAGCTTCCGCTCATGCTTCCGTGCCTCGTGCCACATGGTGGTGAGGCCAAGTCTGGAGCCTCAACTTGGGGGTGAGGGGAAGGAAGAGTCAGATGGGCTGTAACCACCATATGGGCAGAATCAAAGTCACCCAAGTTGGAGACACAGCTGATCCTAAGCACCAGCTCCAGGAAGGGGAGGTGGCTGCACTATAAGGCAGCTGCTCTGGCACAGCCCTGACAGCTCTGATCCAGGACCTTGGGCATTCGGAAAAGCCTTCAGGTGATTTGGGGGTAAGCACCGGGGGGAGGGGGGGGGGGGGGGGAAGCTGTGTCCTGGGTTCAGGGCTCTGGAGTCAGGAAGAAGTTTGGGGAGGGAAGGATTCAGTGTTTGAAGCAAGGTCTGGAGGAAGACAGGATGCAGCAGAGGCTGGATGCATGGGAAGAGCTGAAATGGATCCCACCAGGGACCATCCACAGCGGGGAGGCCTAGTTCGCAGAGGGATGAAAACAGAGGAGAGTCTATGGGACCAGAGTAGGGCTATGGAGGTGGGGGTCGAGGGCAGGTGAAGGGCGTGGATGGCTGATGACGACGTTTAGGAGCAGAACTTGGAGAGTGCTGTGAGGAAAAAGCCCACGCGGAGCGGAGACCTACGGAAGAGACTCCGGGAGAGGGAGGTAAAAAGGCTGCAGAGACTGAGGAAGATGGTGCTGGCAGACGGGAGGAGGCGGGCTTACTTTCGAGGCCAGCTTCTGGGGCAGAGGCGGGGCGCGAGGGTTTGGACAAGGCTGACGGGCCGGGGCCGGGTCTGGGGGTTCGGGTCAAGTTTTGTTGACAGGGGGGCGGGGCCTGTGCAAGTCGCGGGTTCGAAGGCCCGGTCCGACGCGGCGGGCGGGCTCGGGCCCGCGGTGGGGGCAGGGGCGAGGCCTGAGGCCCCGGCCGGCCGGCGGGGGTGCGAGGCGGGCGGCCCTCGGGGGCGGGGCCGCGCGGAGGCTCAGAGAGCCCGGGGAGAGGCCGAGTCTGCGAACCTGCGCTGACACCCACCCGGGAACCCGGAGGTCGGGGCCCGCCGCCTGCACTCACCGGCTCGTCGCTGCCTCCTACCGCTGCGCTAGCGCGCGGCCCGCACCGGAAGCGGAAGTGGGAGGCCCTGCGAAGGGGGAGGGGTGGAGCGCGGCAGAGCGCGCTTCCGCCGACGTGGGGGGCGGGGCCTGCGAGGGGCGGGGCCTGCGAGGGGCGGGCACTGTGGGCGGGGCCTGGGGACAGGCGGGGTCGCAGGGAACCTGGAGGCGCGTCCCAGGCAGAGAGAGGAGAAGCCGAAGGCTGAAAAACTCATCTTTATTGGGAAGACTCTGAACAACCCACCAGCCCCCACCCCCCACCTTGAGGCCTGGGGGCGAGGGCGAGGGGCCTGCACCCTCCTCCCGCGTGTCCTCCGCAGCGCCCGCCCGGAGGAGGTGCCCCGCTCGTGGGGGCCGACGCGGCGCCCCAAGCCCTCGGTTCTCTCCGGACTCGGTTTTCTCTTTTGTAAATAGGCTCAAGGGGAAACCGAAGCGACGGAGCTGCTGGCCAGCGTTGAAGATGTCCACTTCAGAAGGAAAAGGTCGGAAGACTGATCCGGGCGGCGGGCGTGGCGGCCGTGCGGGCTGAGTGCCCCCGCCCCGTCCACCGCGCCCCCCACCCAGGCCTCTCCGCGAGGGCTACGTGGCCTCAGGCCCCGGGGACAGGAGGCCGCCCCCAAAGCCCGTCTCGCGGTACTGGTTGGGGAACATGTTACTGCCCACGAGGCTGGCAGTGCCCCCATCCCCGGGGCCCGGGGTCTGGTAAGAGTCCAGCGTTAGTGGCTCGGGGCCGGGGGACTCCCCGACCGCGGCCCCGGCACCTCCGTTGCCCATGACAGCGCTGGCGAGGGGGGGTGCCGGGGTCAGCATGTCCAGCATGTTGAAGAGCGTGGGGCCCGTGGCATCGTAGGCAAAGCCATCGTCCAGGAGATCCGGCCCGCCGGGGGGCTCCAGGCCGGGGAGGGACACGGTGCCGGGGAAGAACTCTGTGTCTGGCAGCAGGGCTGATGGCGGCAGGAATGGGCCTTCGGGGATTGAGAAGAGAAGGGAAGTGTGATGGGCTGTAAGGCCAAATTACGGCCCAGTAGTTAGTCCAGTGCACCCCTCTACCCACCCCCTCCACGCCCAGCTAGATGCATCCCAGTGTGGCCTCCTCTAATCCAGAGTACCTATGAGTAGAGACAATCACCACTCCCATCACCAAACCAAGGCAAAATAAGTCACACACAGCCCCGTCAGGGTTGAAACTATGCTACTGAAGTGCTAGGGAGAAGTTCCTCAAAATGAGGAAGAGGGTATGAAGCTATCAGCAGTGATCCCCGCCACAGAGGTGACCCATATGGTGACCCAGCAGACCTCTCCTCAGCAGCTGCTCCCCTCAGCAGCGTATTTCAGTCAATCTGCCTGTTCTGCTCCCCACTCTGTCTCTGGTGAATCCTCTCACTGCCCCTCTGCACCTCTGACCTACACCCCAGTTCTTGTACACATAAATAAATAAAAATAAAATAAATACATGAAGTTTTAAAAAACCAATGAGGTGGGTATGCGGTGAGGCTTTTTCAATGAGTCCCTAACACTGAGAGGTAGAGCAACCTGACAAAGGTCACACAGCAAGTAAAAGTGGCCCCGGGGAGATCAGAGCCTCCTGACTGTCCAGAATTGCAATTCTTTCCACGTTATGTTACTGACAAAGTGGTGAGTCACTGGCCGGTCTTTGGGGGTCTGGAGAGGTCAGAAAAGCAGGGCTGCACTTCACCCTCGGCCCACCCCAGGGGGTAGGGGATTGCCAAGCTGGGACCCACCTGAGCCATGGCTGGGCAGGAAGTGGTCCAGGAAGGCCGGCTTTTTCCTCCGCCGTTTGCTCTCGATGCCATGGGGGTCTGAGGAAAGGCAGAGATGAGGAGCCCTGGATCCCAACAGTCCCTCCTCCCCAACCAGGGTGGGGTTAGTCACCCCCTCCCAGGGACCTGCAGGTGGGTGTGGATAGAGGTGGGTAGAGGGGACACACCAGAGCTGTTCAGCTCCCCAAGGACATCAGGCATCCCCCGTTTCCGCTTCTTGTCAACACCATAGCTATCTGTAGGAGATGGCAGAGGGAAACAAAGTAATCTGTTAATAATAAGAATTAACTAAGAATTTATAAAGACCATTCAGGAAGTTGCTGAGCTGTTCCAGTTCTTGGCCAGCCAATGCCAATAGATGTTCATAGTTACTTAATCAGAAACCCAAATCCACTTCTAGCCACACTGGCCTCTTGTTTCTGGAATATCGCAGGCAGAATCCTGCCTCAGAATCCTTGCAATTTCTGTTCCAACTTCTTAAAACATTCTTCCTCAACTCCCCCCACTTACTGAACTACTCAGTCATCCTCCAGTGGTCAGCTCAGCTGTCCCCTCCTCCAAGAAGCCTTCCCTGACTCCTAAGGATGAGTTAGGTAACCCCGCTGGGCAATCTGAGCCCCCTGAGCAACTCCATCCCAGTCCTGTCATCGCTGATTGTCACTGTATGAGAATTGATGGGCTTCCCCCCTCCCACCGCCATCATGAGACTGGGCTAGAGGTACCTCAGTCACAGCTGTGTCCCCAGCACTACCCAGCCCAAGTCCAAGGGTAAGCAGGGGTGCTTAGGGAGGAACAATTAAATACTCCCAAGTGCCATGAGATGGGTACTGTTTTTTCCATTCTGCACAGGAGGTTAAAGCTCAGGGAGGTCGAGATCACATAGTCAGTGGCAGCCCAGATTTGAACCCATCTTTGAATTCTACTTCTGCCTCTTCCCCTTTCCCTTCCAAGTTGCCCCAGGCAAGGCCAAAGCCCAGGCCTCTGAAGTGGTGGGTTGCGGGGGTTACCATGGTCCCGGGGCAGGTACGTGAAGGGCAGAGGCTCGCTGCAGACCCCATCAGTGAGCCGCTGCAGGTAGACATTCACAGTCACTGGCTCGATGATCTCCAGGTCCTCGTACGGAGGTGTCTTGAAAACGATGGCGATCTGGCGGTGCACATCAGCCTGCGAGAAGTCAGCCCGGCCTTCCCAGGAGGCCCTGCTGAATACCACCGATATGTCCTCTGGCGGGAAAGTGGGGATGTCAGCTAAGCCAGGACACTGGCCCACTGGGCCCCCAACTCACTCAGCCTCCCCCAAAGTCAACATCAATATTCCTAGGAATAAAGTTAATCATATTGACAGCTAACTTTCTGTTGCACACCTACTGCGTGCCACCACTAAGTGTTCTGTGTATTTTTGGTTATCACATTTAATTCTAACACCCCAAAGTAGAATTAACATCCCCCCACGGCATCAAATTCAGCACACAGGACTCACACACAGGATTCTGCACACAGGGGACTCACAAGACTCAGTACATAATCTGACTTAGTAGAGCAAATAGAGACCAAGCATACTCAGCAAAGGGAAAAGGTGCCCAGCAAAGTGCAGCAGAACCAGGCACAAACTTCCAAGAGTGCTCTCCCAGTGCAGTCACACAGCAGACGCTAATTCCCCCCAGAAACAAACTATGATAAATTTTTATTTTCCTGAGAACCTCATGTGTGCTCGACCATGGACTGGGTGGTCCTGGGTCTGCTCACCAAAAGAACACCAGGTCCTGCCCTTCTGACCCAGTGGGGAAAGATTGGGTTATTAACTCTATAATCATACAAGCTGCAAAAGGATTGAAAAGGGGGGACCCCTGGGGCTGTAGCAGGTTCTCCCACACTCTCCCTCTCCCTACTCATCAGACTTAGCTCTTCTAACAACCTAATCTGCTCCTACCACAGGGCCATTACACTTGCTGTTCCCTCTGATGGAACACTTTTCCCTAGAGGGACACACAGAACTTCATGGCTCTGATGTCATCTCCTCAGAGGGGTCCTGGCTGACTCTCCTAAGTAAAACTGCATCCCCGAACCCCTCCAACCATTCCTCTCTGCCCCTGTTCTCAATCCTTTCTCTACCTGCCTAGTTGACCTTGAACCACTTGCTTGACCTTGGTACATATCACCATCAAGCATATACAATGCTTTACTGCTTTACCTTGGTTACTATCTGCTGCCCCCACCAAAAGTGGGCCCCACAAGAATAGGGTTTCCTCTGTCTTATTTGCTGCTACCCCAGTGCCTAGAATGAGCGCTCAATCACTATGTGTCAAATGGTGAAAAAAGATTCCCTCTGCCATGTGAGCCCAGGTGGGGACAGGGGAGGGGCAGGGGAGGAGACTGCTATGGAGCAGAGACCCCAGCAATTGAAGGGCTTGGGTCTTTCAGGGATGATCAAGATTAGATGTGGGGCTCAAGTAAATCAACCCACGTGATGCCCAGTACCTACAGGGTCAGGAGTCGAGGAACGTAATCACCACTACTGTTACTGTTACTATTCTCATGGTCACCACCATCACTGTCAAACAACTCCGGAAAGTTGCTTTGTTAAAGGTGGTGTTTCAAACTTGCCTCTTTTCCCTCATTTAAAAAAGTGGTTCAGGGCCTCCCTGGTGGCGCAAGGGGTTAAGCACCGCACTATGAAGCAATTCGCAGCCTCTGCAGCACGAGTTCGATCCCTGGCCAGGGAGCAACCCACATGGCGCAGCAGACCTCTCCTGACTTGCCCACAGCTCCCCTCAGCAGTGTACTTTGGTGAATCTGCCTGTTCTGTTCCCCACTCTGTCTCTGGTGAGTCCTCTCACCCCCCACATCTCTGGCCTGTACCCCAGCTCTTGTATGCATAAATAAAAAAATCTTTAAAAAAAAATAAAACAAATAAGTGGTTCAGGATAAAAACAAATACCACCTTGTCAAAGCTTCTCATTTTCTCCCCCAACTCTTTTTATTTTTAAAAGATTTATTTATTTATGCATACAAGAGCTGGGGTGTAAGCCAGAGGTGTGTGTGGGAGGTGACAGGATTCAGCAGAGACAGAGTGGGGAGCAGAACAGGCAGAGCTACTGAAAGACACTGCTGAGGGGAGCAGCGGGCGAGACAGGAGAGGTCTGCTGCACCATGTGGGTCACCTCCCTGGCTGGGGATCGAACTTGAGCTGCAGTGGCTGGCAATTAAAGATAGTGCTATCTTTAATCCCCGCGCCACCAGGGAGGTCTCCCAACTCCTTTTTTATATTTTCTCCCACAAGAAATGGTAAAGAGTATAGATCACCTGAATCCCAGTCCTGTCTCTGCCTACTTGACCTTTGGCTTCCTCACCCATAAAATGGGGTGAGTAAGAGGCACTAACCTCACAGAAATGTGGGGTGACTGGATGACCTAATAACGAACAAGCACCCTAAGTGTTCATAGAGCTTGGCATACAGCAGGAGCAAGGCCCGAGGTAGCTCTTTCCTGCAGTTGCTGGTGAAGTTCCTGATGACAGTTATGTGATAGAAAGTACAAAGGGCACAGAAAAGGCCTGTACCGTAAAAAGGAGAGCTCCCTCTGGCCCTCTGCCCAGTTGGCACCGGATGGAGATTTATTGTTTGTTTTAAACCCTATCTGAAGAGGAACATTTGAACATACATGACTGAGGGGATGATGCCTTCCCCGTGCCCCCTTTTCTTCACCAGTAGCCCCGTCACCCCACAAGAGGGCCCTAACGCAGTCATTTACGTAACTTCAAGAGTTTAACAGCAGGGGCCTCCCTGGTGGCGCAGGGGTTAAAAGCAGCACTAACAAGTTATTCACAGCCACTGTAGCATGAGTTCGATCCCCAGCCAGCCAAGGAGCTGATCCACATGGCACAGCAGACCTCTCCTGTCTTGCCCACTGCTCCCCTCAGCAGTATATTTCAGTCCATCCACCTGTTCTGTTCCCCACTCTGTCTCTAGTGAATCCTCTCACCTCCCACACCTCTGGCCTGTACCCCAGTTCTTGTATGCATAAATAAATAAATCTTTAAAAAAAAAAAAAAAGAGAGAGAGCTTAACAGCAGAGTCTCCCAGACATCAAGCATAAGATGGCAAGGACTGCCTGGCATGTGGCAGCGCCAGCACAGACGACCGACCTCCCTCTCTGCACAGGAACAAGTGAGTGAATGAAACAATGAGCTGTTTCTGTCTGACTCCAAAGTCAGAGTTCTGAATCCTTCTGCTCTGGCTTAACAAGCTCCTCATTATCCTCTCACCCACTGGGCTCCCCAGTTTCTCCTTCGAGCCAGCAGAGCCCCCTGTGCCCACTCACTGCCCCAGGCCCCTCACCTTTCTGCACCTTGTCACACAGCAGGTAGAGCTCCTCGCCCCCCGTGCACGGCCCACTCTCCTTGTTGATTCGGCAAATCCGCAGCTCTGACGTGTTTGTGGACTCTGAGAAAGAGCAAAAGGATGTGAACATGCAAGAAAAAACAGAATTCAGTCATCATACCCTCACCAGGTACTGCATGGGTGCCCACCTGCCTGGGGAGAAGTGAGAACTGGATAAGGCAGGGCACCTGGTCCTACATGAACCCTTGGTACAGGTAGAAAAAGAAGATGCTTGGATACGAGGAGACAATAAGGAATCCTCCATGTTGACGGCCCGAGAGCATGAGTGTCCAGTCAAAAGGAACACCCTCAAACCTCAGAGACCCTTGGCAGGGCAGAGGTCAGAGGCAACTCTTCGAGGAGGGTCAATGGCCTGAAATCTACAGTGGACACCTTTTGCACTGCCATTAGCAGTCCTGGTCATTCTTCTGTTAAAAGCCCCTCAGTTTTCCTTCAAGGGACCACCCCCAGGGCAGACCAAAGAAATGGGTAGGGCTGAGCCCATTCCTTAGCTCAGCAGTGGTCATGTGCTTCCAACCAGCCAATCACTACATCACCTCTCTCTGGCCATAGCTGATTGGTCAGAAAGGAGCACATGACAAAAAAACAGGCCAATGAGAGACAGCCCTGAGACTTGGAGCAAAAATATTGGGTCAGGGCTTCCCTGGTGGCACAGGGGTGAAAGACACAGTGCTATCAAGCTATCAGCAGCCCCTGCTGCCTGAGTTCGAGCCCCGGCCAGGGAGCTGACCCACGTGGCGCAGCAGACCTCTCTGGTCTCACCTGCTGCTTCCCTCAGCAGTGTATTTCAGTCGATCCACCTGTTCTGCTCCCCACTCTGTCTCTGGCGAATCTTCTCCTCCCCACCCCCGCACCTCTGGCCTACACCCCAGCTCTTGTTTGCATAAATAAATAAATCTTTAAAAATAATTTGGGTCAGAGAAGCTCTAAGGGCGGGGGAGAGATACCAAGATGGCAAGATACAGGCCTCGAGCTGCACACAGTCTTTCTGCCCTGACATGAGAGGGCCCTGCCGAGAATGCCTCCAACATGGAGGAAGCATAGCTGAGCAGCCAACTGACAGGTCGCTAATGACATCATTGAGGACCTGGATGTCGCCAGACCTGAGGGCTGTGCTACCTCTGAGTTTTTTTAGTTAATGGAACGCATTCTTTTTATTCTTCTATCTTTTTGAGCTGGATTCTATCACTTACATCCTTAAAAGCCCCAGCTGAATGAATACCCTCCACATTTCCATGTTGTGGTGGTCACATGGCTGGGTAAACCCTAACAGCAAATCCTCAATCCCCTTTTCCACACTTATACTCCTCCAGAGAGGACTGAAAAACAAACAAACAAACAAATCTATTTGCTTTCCCAGACTCCCTTGCAACTAACTAGCAATGACCATGGCACCAAATGAGATAAGCAGAAATCAACCAGCAGGATGGTGAGGAATATGCTATTTTGTCTATAAAAGAGAGACACAGGGCCTCCCTGGTGGCGCAAGGGGTTAAGTCGCAGCACTATGAAGCTATCCGCAGCCTCTGCAGAACAAGTTCGATCCTAGGCCAGGGAGGTGACCCACATGGCGCAGCAGACCTCTCCTGTCTTGCCTGCTGTTCCTCTCAGCAGTGTATTTCAGTCAGTCTGCCTGTTCTGTTCCTCATTCTGTCTCTGGTGAATTCTCTCACCCTCCTGCACCTCTGACCTATACCCCAGTTCTTGTATGCATAAATAAATAAATCTTTAAAAAAAAAAGAGAGTCACAGCTTTACTCACTCAGCCTCTTCCTCAGGTCACCTCTAAGCTGTTCCAGTTACACATTCTACAACACAAGGAGGTCCTGTTTCCATAGACTACATAGTAAATGCTGACCCTGGGAATTATGCATCTGCAACCTGCAGAGGGCAGTACTCACAGGGCAGTACTGCCCATCATCACTTGAACACAAACATGATGTCGGGAGCTGTGGCAGCCATCTCGTGACCATGAGGGAAAGGCCAAGAGAATCAGCTGCTGAACCAGCTACTGTTGAGTAGTTGAATCAACAGGAAAAGACTTAAAAATGGAGAAAACGAAAAATAAGTAACAAGCTGTTTGCTGATGCCACAATATATGTAGGGTTTTCTGATACCTGAGTCCACGGACATTCTAGACAGACACAGCACCCTCAACTCACTCTTGTCATAGACGGGCTCAGATAATACTGGATCCATTCGGCGCATCTGTCCCTGCTGATCCCTGTATGAGGCCTGGAAGCAGATCCTCACCACATTCATGTCCACCTCCTGATGGTTCTTCAGGGACCCAGCTGTGGGGGAGATGCAGAAAGGCAGAGGGTGGAGAACCTGGTGGGAGGGACAGGGTGGGCAGGGAAGGGAAGGGTCTGGAAGAGATGGTAGGGACTGGAGAAGGCAAGGCGACAGGGGCGGGCAGAGGGTTCAGGAGGATGGGAGGACCAGGCCAGGCACAAAGACTCACCATTGTAGGGGTCAATGCCCAGTTGAATCTTTCGCTCAATGGCGGCCTCAATTTCCTTCTTCCTCACACACTGGATGCCCAGGTTGTTAAAGCTGAGTATGGGGACATGGGGAAGGGAGGTTACTTGCAAGGGCCAGGTACAGCCCTGACCCACAGGAAGTTTCCAGCAAATGCTACCTCAGGGCACAGTCTCAGGGGCCCACGGAACAAGAATTAGGAAGGAGCTGGGGTTCAAATCCCTTAGGGGTGTCAAGGATTCTTTAGCAAATCTGAGACACCTTATCCTATTGTTACCATGTACACATAATAGCCAACCTCACTTATAATAAGAAAACAACAAATTAGTCATTGATGTGATGTGAATTAAAAAAAAAATACCCTCTGCTGGTGGGGTTGTGGAGAACCAGGCACTCTGACCCACTGCTGGCGGGGCTGTAAATTGCTCCAGCAATTACATATTGGAGGACAATGTGGCAGTATTCATCCATTCCACAAATATTTCCTGAACACCTACTGTGTGCAGGCACTGGGATAGGCTCTTGGAAATATAGCAAGAAACAAAGAGACAAAATTCCTATTCTCGGGCCTCCCCAGTGGCGCAGTGGGTTGAGCGCAGCACTGTGGAGCTGTCTGTGGGCTCTGCAGCGTCGGTTTGATTCCCAGCCAGCCAGGGAGAAACCCTCATGGTGGGACACACCTCTCCTGTCTTGCCCGCTGCTCCCCTCAGCAGTGTACTTCAGTCCTTTGCATGTTCTATTCCCTGCTCTGTCTCTGGTGAATCCTCTCACCCTCCTGCGCCTCTGGCCTGTACCCCAGTTTTTGTATAAAAATAAATCTTTAAAAAAAATTCCTATTCTTATGGAGCTGACACTTTCATTAAATTTAGAAATCACGGGAAGTACAAATATACAGACTTGCAGCCACAATTTCATTTCTAGAAATTTACCCTAGAGAAGAAATGATATGTAGGTAAAGTCATCAATTGCTGCATGGTAAGTAATAAAGTCATGAGTGACTAGGTGCACATTAATAGGATACTTGTTCAATGAACAAGTGTATGTTTATCCATACACAACAGGAATACTACGCAGTCAGTAAAAAGGATAGGGCCACTCTAAATGTACTGATAAGAATGATCCCCAAGATGCACTGGAGCAAGGTGCAAATGTCTTACACCATTTATACTGGGAGGGGAATATATCCATGTATATATTTATATTGTAAATATATACATATATGTAGAAATACACACACACAGCATATCCTCAGTTGCCTACAGGAAGGGATACTGGTAGCTGGAGCAAAAATGGAAGGTAATTTGTTTGTCACTGAACATCTTTTCTGAGCCTTTACTTGTTAAAAATAAATTATAAAGTGAGAGAAAGCCCAGGTTTTGGCCGTAAAGTCAAGTGCAGAGTCAATTCCAGCTCTGCCATTGGCTGTTCATGCTCCCTCACTTCAGTCTCCTCCTCCATGAAATGGGGCCTAACAGAATATGTAGGAATGTGTGTGTGACAGGCTTCCAGGCCCAAGAAAACCCCTCCCTACCTCCCCCAGGCCTCAGTTTCCCCATCTAGAAAATGCAGCAGGAGAGTCTGGCCAAGCGGCCCCTTGACCCGCAGACTCCCCATGACCCAGTGGGAAGGGTTGGGGTTCAGGGGTTGGGTACCTGTGCCGGGGGCTGACATGAGGCCGGAGCCGCACCCTGCAGACGCCGTCGGTGCAGTCTTTCCCCACAAGGCTGTGGGGATGCACTCGGTGGGGCCAGTCCTTCCACACCAGACAGGCGGTCACCTCCACCTCCCGCAGCCCTCCACATTCCCGGAGCTGCAGGAAGACAGGGGCTCTTGGGGGTCCTGTTGCAGTCACTTGCACCCATCCAAACACTCTTGGTAGCTCCCCGCCCTTCTATCATTCCCCGCCTTTCCAGGATGAGGATACTTGAGATCTTCACTTGAAGGCTCCCAAGTGATGGCCGGGGGGTGTCCTAGATACCAGCTGCTGAACAGATGGGCTTTCTGTGGCCACTCAGACTTTAAAAAAACGGTCACACAGAGTCTCCATGTCTAGTCACAGATAAGATGCTAGTGACCAGGGGAGAGCAGAGCCTTGGGAATGGAAAGACCTGGAGGAAGCACCGTGACCAGGGCATCGAGGTCAGCAACACCATCCCTGGACCCCAGGGCCCTGGTACCCCAGAGGGAAGCGCTGGGAAGGACATAACATCATTTGGGCTACAGTCCCTCTGGAGGCACATCACGTGAGTCTAATTGTGGGGGGACACCACACATGCATGCCAGGTCAAAAATATCAGCTTCAGGACCTCCCCGGTGGCACAAAGGGTTAAGACTCAATCTGTGAAGCTGTCCGCAGCCTCTGCAGCACGAGCCTCTGCTCCCCGGCCAGGGAGCTACCCACATGGCGCAGCAGACCTCTCCTGACTCGCTGCTGCTCCCCTCAGCAGTGTACTTCAGTCCATCTGCCTGTTCTGTTCCCCACTTTGTCTCTGGTGAATCCTCTCACCCCCCGCATCTCTGGCCTGTACCCTAGCTCTTGTATGTATAAAAAGATAAATCTTTTTTTAAGATTTATTTCAAGAACTGGGGTTTATACAAGAACTGGGGTAGAGACCAGAGGTGCGGGAGGGTGAGAAAACTCACCAGAGACAGAGCGGGAAGCAGAACAGGCAGACGGACCGAAGACATTGCTGAGGGAGCAGCAGGTGAGACAGGAGAGGTCTGCCATGCCCTGTGGGTTTCTCCCCGGCCCTCCAGGAATTGAATCCCCGTTGCAGAGGCTGTGGACAGCTTCACAGCACGGCGCTCAACCTGATGCACCACCAGGGAGGCCCATAAATAAATAAATAAATAAATATTTTTTTAAAAATCAGCTTCAGGGCCTCCCTGGTGGAGCAGCGGGTTGAACGCAGAGCTGTGAAGCTATCCACAGTCTCCGCAGCACGAGTTCAATCCCCGGCCGGCCAAGGAGCAACCCATATGGCACAGCAGCCCTCTCCTGTCGTGCCCACTGCTCCCCTTAGCAATGTATTTCTGTCCATCTGCCTGTTCTGCTCCCCGCTCTGTCTCTAGTGAATCCTCTCACCCTCCCGTGCCTCTGGCCTGTACCCCAGCTCTTGTATAAAAATAAATAAATCTTTAAAAAAATATTTAAAAAAAAATCAGCTTCATAAAAGACAGTGAGGAGATGGGAGCCATCTTTTTGAATTAAGAGATCAAGTTAGGGCCTCCCTGGTGGCTCAAGGGGTTAAGCACCGCACTATGAAGCAATCCACAGCCTCTGCAGCATGAGTTCGATCCCCAACACCCCCGGCCAGCTGGCCAGAGAGAAACCCACATGGCGCAGCAGACCTCTCCTGTCTTGCCCGCTGCTCCCCTCAACAGTGTATTTCAGTCAGTCTGCCTGTTCTGCTCCCCACTCTGTCTCTGGAGAATCCTCTCACCCCCTACACCCCTGGCCTACCCCAGCTCTTGTATGCATAAATAAATAAATCTTTTTTTAAAAAAAAAGAGATCAAGTTAAATTTTTTTGCCCCTCAGGTTTTTTTTTTTTTTTTGCCCAGACATGTGCACATTTAACATGCAATTTTTTGTGTGTATCCCTTATACCTCAATGAAACTTTAAAAAAACACTAAAAAGTTTCTTTTTTAGCACAAAAATTGAAGGAAATTTTGGAGCCATTTAAAAAATATGATACAGGGGCCTCCCCGGTGGCGCAGCGGTTGAGCACTGGGTTGCGAAGCTGCCGGCGACCTCTGCGGCGCCGGTTCGATCCCCTGCTGCTCCCCGGCCACCTGAGGAGGGTCCCACATGGCGCGCAGACCTCTCCTGCCGCCCGCTGCTCCCCTCAGCAGTGTACTTCGGTCCTTCTGCCTGCTCTGCTCCCTGCTCTGGCTCTGGTGGATTCTCTCACCCTCCCGCGCTTCTGACTGTACCCAGTGCATGTATAAACAAAACAAACAAACAAACAAACAAATAAATAAAACATGCCTCTATTTAAAAAAAAAAAAAACATTTTAAATAAATAAATAAATAAAAAGTATGATACAGGCCATTATTCCAGATTTCCAGATTCTCTTTCTTAAAAGGGAAGTTAAAACAACCAGTGTTGGAATTCCTGCACACAGCAGCCACAGGGGGTGGAGGAAGGAAATCAGTCTCTTTCGAGGGGGCTTGGCTGTCATGGGTCACCCGAGCTGCCCGCAGCCTCTACAGTGCCGGTTCAATCCCCGGCCACTGGCGAGGGTACCTCATGGCGCGCAGACCTCTCCTGCCGCGCCCGCTGCTCCCCTCAGCAGTGTACTTCGTCAGTCTGCCTGTTCTGCTCCCCGCTCTGGCTCCGGTGAATTCTCTCACCCTCCCGCACTTTTGACTATACCCAGTGCTTGTATAAATAAATAAATCTTTAAAAAAAAAAAAGGAGTATAATAAAATAAATAAATAAATAAAATCTGCCAGGAACCTAAGCCCAGAACCTATATAGACGCTGAAATGCCTATGAAATACAAGGAGCCTGTCTCAGTGGCGGAGTACTGCCCTCTAGTGGCCGTTCTGAGCTACTGAGGGTGATGATGATTAACTCCGGGTGGGGACCCCAAGCAGACAGTAAGCAGAGCCAGGGGCTCTACACAGCGTGCAAACCCAGGGACAGTCCCACCTTCTGAACATCAGTGACAAACCTGTTTAAAAATGATCAGGGCTCAGGACCTGAGTTAAAGGAGTTAAAAGAGAGGGTCTGTACCCCAGTTCTTATACGCATAAATAAATAAATCTTAAAAAAAAAATGATCAGGGCTCAGCACTTCGCTGTTTTACCCGTAGAGTATTTCTCCTCATCATTTAAAAATACACTAACTTTTCAAGGACTATAGCAACCATGTTTGTGCAGAGAGACTGGATTCTGTTTAGACTGAGAGTTTCCTGCCACTTTGGAAAATTCCATCAGCAAGGGCAGTCTGGGCGAGTGGCTTGAACATCCCAGAGGCCATGCCAGGCAGGTTGCATTCAGGGCCAGTGCACTCACAGTCACAAGCCACTGTCACCTGTGTTATGTGTCTCCAGGGCTGTGCCCAAGCATTTACACAGAGATATAAATGTGGAGGTATTTCTCCTTCAGATTCAAGTCCAGGCATTATGCATTTAGGGTGATGATGAGCTGAGGAAGATAATATGGACTATAAATTTCACTGGGTCAGACAGAGCTAAATCCATTCACTGAATCAGCCCTCATTTTTATATTAGGAGAGTCTGAAAAGCACAGAAATCACGGTTTCAGGATTCAAGACTTCAGGGCTGAAAGTTGTTCATCTTTGAGATGTCATGCAGATTGTGAAGGATACATCAGGCCTCACTGTAAGTCAGACCTGGCACCCTATATAGCTGTCTCGCTAGCCATCTGTGTGATAAACCTCTCGGGTCTTACTGAACTGACCTGTCAAATAGGTACTGCTCAGTACCTGGGGTGTAGGAGCATTTAGTGAATGGAATAATTACTAGAGTCAACTTGCTGTGTGCCCCTGAACAAGTAACTCACCCTCTCTGAGCTTCTGTTTGCTTCTTTGAAAGATGGACATAAAAATCCTGAATCCAGATGCAGACATAGGTTATCTGCTATTGTTGGACACTTACTGTTCAACTCTTTGAAATCAAAATCAACATAAGTCAGAACAACTCCATAGAGATAAAAAGTTGGGGGGGGCAACACCATCTCCAAGTCTCACCTCACAGGCAACTTACTAATTACAAAGAGAAAACTCTAGCTTTACAATGGGGATGCCAGGAGATCACTATCTGTTATGGGCTACATTGCATTTCCCACAATTATTATGTTGACGCCCTGGCTCCCAATACTTCAGAATAACTGCATTGTAGATTGTGTCTTTGAAGAGGTGACGAAGTTGATAAGTGTGGGTCCTAATCCAATCTGCCTGGGGTCCTGATTCTTCAGCAGAGGTATTTGGACATACAGAGAGATACCTAACAAGTGTGGCCACAGGGGAAAAACCTTATGAGGACACATGGGAAGGCAACAAGCCAAGGAGAGAGGCCTCAGTGGACCAGTCCCACCAGAACCTTCATCCTGAACTTCCAGCCTCCAGAACTACGAAAGAATAAGCTCCCAATGTTCATGCCACCCAGTCTGTGGTACATTACTATGGCCGCCTGAATGGATTCACACAACGCCTTAACCACGGGCTCCAACTCACATCACCAAAGCTGGAACAAACGGCCACGCCCTGTCCCTTGATGTGACACACAAGAAAGGCCACGGAATCACAGTGTCCCCATCCAAATACATGACCCCACCTCCATCCCCAATGCGGAGAGTCTACAAAACCTCTGTCCTGCCTGCCACAAAGGTCCCAAAACGCAAAGACAGACTGAGAATCTGATCCAGGTCACCACAGACAACCTGTCTCGCTCTGTGCGGGCAGCTGTCACAACACGAGGAACTGGGAGGTAGCGAACCACAGAAATTTCTCTCTCCCTTTTCTGGAGGCCAGTGAGACCCTCTTCCAGGCCTCAGAGAGGGTAAATTCTTGCCATGTCCTCATGTGGAGGAAGGTCCAGCAAGTTCTAAGGGGTCTCTTTTATAAGGGCACAAATACCAAAGGCTCACCTCCTATTACTGGGAGATAGGGTGGCAACATACACACTTGGAAGGGACAGGAGCATTCAAATCATCAACCAGACCATTCAAAGCGGCACTTGATCCCAGACACATTATTTACAAGCAGATGAAAAAAGGTATGTTGGGGACATCTGGGAAAATTAGCCTATGGGCTCCACAGTAGATACCTCTGTACAAAAAGTAACTTTCTAGAGTTTAATGGTGTCCTGATGACATTTGGTGCTACATTTAGGAAAAGTCTCTGTTCTCAAGAGCTACACACAGAGACGCCAACACCCTGGGAGAAGTTTCATCATGTCTCCTACTTACTTTCAAGTCTGTCTCCAGAAATGTGTGTAAAGAGGAAGCTCAACACATAATGGAACAGAGCACAGGGTGTAGGGGGTGTGGGTGGTGCTCTTTGGTAGCTTTACATTTTTCCGAAAGAAAAAGCTGGGCTGAGGCCTCCCTGGTGGCCCAGAGGTTAAAATCTCAGTGCTATCAAGCTATCACCAGCCACTGTAGCAGGAGGGCATGAGTTTGATCCCCGGCCGGCCAGGGAGCTGAACCACATGGCGCAGCAGACCTCTTCTGGCTCCCCTCGGCGCCTCTCAGCAGTGTATTTCAGTAGATCCACCTGTTCTGCTGCTCCCTACTCTGTCTCTGGTGAATCTTCTCACCCCCCACCCCCACACCTCTGGCCTACACCCCAGTTCTTGTATGCAAGCATGCATAAATAAGTCTTTAAAAAAAAAAAAAAAACAGCTGGGCTAGACATAAAATTGAAAGAAATTCCCTGTCATACTGGAAAAACAGATGAACTGCTTCAGGTTAAAGACGGGGACATGAGATTACCGCTCACTGCATAACACTTGCCCCATTCCTGAAATTCAGAGAGCGGGGAAACATACATTCCCAGCACAGTGTGACTGGCTTAAAAACATCTCCAATAGCCACAGACGGCATTTCCGATGGCGGCTCTCATGCTGGGCCATATTCGTGTGTGTGGTTACACGCTGTGACGCTCACACAATGAACTCACCCAACGACCTGTCGCTCAGACTGTACCCCCGTGGTGAAGCCACGTGTGACGATAAATCCCCTTTTTAAACGAAACGTTTGACAGCCAGCATGCTACTTAATCACCGCGAGGCCCGGAATCCGCTGATAACAAAGACAATCACCACTGGTGCTGGTCATGTCCGCTGGACAGTCCATTTCACAAACGAGGGACCAGAAGCCAAGAGTAGCTGGACTTGGCCACAATTCATACGGCTGGTAAGACCACAGCAAGGAAGCACGCAAACCCACGCCTTTCTGACTCTAAGGCCCAAACTTGTTGATATCTCAGGTAATCATGCAAAAAAAACCCTGTGCATGAAAAGCCACTGGCAGAGACAAAGAGAGGAGACAGAGACAGAGACAGAGAGAGACAGAGAGGGAGGGGGACAGAACACCCGGTGAGAGGGTGCTGGGGCCTGGTACAGGGGTGAGGGAAGGCGTCCCGGAAGTGGGCTGGAGCCTCCTGGTGAGCAGGTGACCAGGCTGCAGGAGGAAAGCACTCCAGGGAGGAGGAAGGACAAGGCCAAAGGCCCGGGTGTTGGCGGGTGTGAGCGAGTTGCGGCTTGGCAGGCATGGGCAGCAGGAGCTAGACAGTGAGAGGGGTTCGGGGACCCAGGGAAGAGGTTGGGCTTCCTCCTGAGGGCACAGGGGAGCCCAGATGGGGATCTGAGAGGCACAGACAGGGTCCCTCTGGCTTCCTTGTTGGAGGCAACTGGGAGCTGGTGACCAGGAAGGAGACTGGCTGCTAGGGAGCAACTGGGGCTGGGCCCTGGGCCAGGGGTAGTGGGGTGATTAGTACTCAATTCAAAAGCCCATGAAGACTCCAGATTGGGTAGGTTCAGGGAACCAAGCCACTCAGGAGCTGCTGGGAGAAAAAGTCATGGGTTCAAGCCCCGGGAAGGACAATTTAGTCATAGTCATCAAATTACCTATGACCAGTAATTCCACTTCCAGAATTTCTCTCAGTGACAGGCATGAAGGAAATAATAGATGAACTGAATTGCCCTCTACAGCCTGCCTATAAGAGCAGGAGACCAGGAACATTTGGGTGGGGGTGGTGCTGGGGGCCGGAGTTGGGGGACTTTTGTTCATTTCACAGATTGAATTTTAATTCTGTTACATTAATATGGATCTTCACGTTTTTGAAAGGTTTGAACCAGCAATTCATGTGATTCAAATTTTTGAAACAAAATTAACGTGTATATAGTTATACACTTACCCATACCTCATCCACTCAGCTCTCTCACCTGACAGGAATCATCTTTATTTATTTTTGCTTTTCCTTCCAGATTTGTATACGCATAGGCGAATATGTAAAAGCTTCATTTCCTTCCTCTTTTTAACACAAAAGGTGGTATTCTAGCCCCTGCAAGTTTCTGTACCTCAATTCTTTTTTGATCTTGACTATGTCTTGGAGACACTTTCACATCAGGGGGAAACATTGTCATTTCAAGTATTTTCAGCATGTGTGCGTGTTTATATTTATCTGCACCCATGCACAGGTATATCTCTTCCGGCTGTGGAGGTTCTGAGATTGACTGTTAATTTCCCTGTCCCTTACTCAGTAAGTTTCACACTCTTCACCCAACAAACCTGGCTGCAACTGATCACTCTGTAGGTCCCGTGTTCACCCAAATGCAGGCATGCAAGACAGACTCCGAGACGTGGACTGGTCTAGCCCTTGAGTGATGACGAGGATGATAAGAACACTAATAATACAGCTAGTCTTTGTCCAGCACTGACCCTGTTAGAGTTTCCTTTCTCCTTAACTCCTCCCTGCAGCCCCAGGTGGTTGGTTGTTACTATCATCCCATTTTGCAGAGGAGGAAACTGAGGCGCAGAGGGTCTGCTAACCTGCCCTGGGCGGCACAGCCGGCGCAAGGCGGAGCCGGGATGCGAACCCAGGCACTGTGGTTCCCAAGGTCTCGCTTATGAACCAGGGGCTGCCCAGCCTTTTCCCGCCACTGAGAAATTCCATCGATACTGCCCAGTGGCCTGGAAGGGGTCTTTCTGGGACCGCCCCTTTGAAGTGGGGGGGGTCAAGGGATAGTACCACCCGCTCGCACCGTAGCAGCCGCCAGAGCAGCCACCACCTAAGCACAGGCATCGTGCGCGCGCGTCTGGGGCGGGAGGCTGCGCCCCACCGCCCCGTGCCCACCTCGATGGCGGGCAGCGTCTTGCTGGCCTCGGTGCTGCTCTCGCCCAGGATGCTGCCGGCCGAGCGGCCCTCGCACTCGTAGCGGAAGCGCATGCCGCGCTGCTTGGGCTGCTCGGTGATGACCAGGTGCGGCCGCGGCCCGGGGCCCGGGGCCGGGGCCACCAGGCGGCCCAGCGGGCAGCCCCAGGGCGGCGGCGGGGCGGGGGGCGGCGGCGCGGCGGGGCCCAGCGTGACGGTGCTCAGCGCGCTCAGCGGCGGGGCGCCCCCGCGAGGCACCAGGCGCGGCGGCCCCTCGGCCGGGCCCGACGGCGCCTCCTCCAGGCCGAAGCCGTTCTCCTTGATGTATTCGTCGATGATCTCTGCGGAGAAGCAGAAAGCGGGGGTGACGCTGACGATCAAAGCGAGGGCCGGACTGACCCCAGGCCCGCGCCCCCGCGCCTGTCCCCCTCCATGTCTGTCCTCGGGACAGACCGCGTGCCGGCGTGCCCAGCGCCTCCCACGCGCAAAGCTCCCCAGCTCCTGGCACGCGCCCCCCAACGCGCCCCAGTCGCTGAAAAGCCTGGGGGTGGGGCGCGTGCAGGTGTCTCCGGCCCCGCCCGCATCTCCTGGCGCTCCTGAGCCCTCGCCCGCAGCACCTCTCACCTGGGTAAGGGGAGGGCCCAGCAGCCGCTGCCCCGCCTCTATCTGGCCCGGTTGAATAACGAGGCGCGTAATAGCTGCTCTGCCCCAGCAGTTCCCATCTCAGGAAGCACCAGCGCCCGCAAAGTGCTCCAGCTGGAAGGACCCACATCTTTGCTAATGGCTCCTGAGCCCACATCTGCCCTGTCCTATCCAGGAGCTGCTTCCCCTTCTACCCCCCGCTGTCTGTTTACAGTCACGATTCTCTCCGCCCTCCACCCGCGCCACCCTCTCTCCACCTTCAGGACCCAGAACCCGGCTGCTGCGCCCCACCTTGCCTGCTCCAGTCCCACACGCCCCACGTAAAACCACAAACTCCACTCATCTCAGAAGGGCAAGTAGCCCACAGCCCTGACCCGGGTCACAGAGCCTTGTCGGGACTGGGCTGGGTCACAGTCCCCAGGCCTTCACCCCACCTCAGTCTCTTTTCTGTGACCTGCTCCCATCAAGCCTGGCTCTCTTCGGGGGTCTTATCCTTGCACCCCAGTGGCCTTTTCACTCTGACCCCATTCACCCTGCACCGGCTCCTTCCCACCCTTCCTGTCCCAGGGCTTGTGTCACTCTCCAGAAAGACCTGGTTACATGTGTTTCCCGCGGACCTCTCCCTCCTCCTATTTCCTCTCCAGCCCTTAACCTGATCTAACGTGATCATGTTTTATTTCTTCCTTCTCCTGCCGTCTCCCCACTGGAGCGTCAGTTCCACGCGGGCAGGAGTTTGCCTGGTTTGTGGCTGAATCATCGGTGTCTAGAACAGCGCCTGGCCCGTGGCAGGTGCTGAACACAATGCAGTGCCAGGGACACCAAGGGCTGCTGGCTTAGCCTGAGCCTTTCCAAGGACAAGCACCTTGGGAACACTGTCATTTTGTTCAAATTCCCCAACTGTCCCCACAAAAAGGAAGGCAAGGGTCCCCGTCAGTCTCCCCCCAAACCTGCCTTGTGATACTCACCCAATTCATCTGTGGGAGGAAGAGAAAGACAAAGAGAAAGGTGAGGTCCAGAAAGCAGTAAAGACTTTTCATCTTTTAAGACAGATTCCCAACCCCATCCCTTGCTGCAACCCTCCTCCTTCTCCTCCAAACTGGGAAACCCTGGGCTGTGATTCCATGGGGTGCCAAGCTCCAACCCCCATTTCTCCTTCCTGGGTTCCCCGTCCATCAGCTCCTTATACTGTGGGTCCCAGCCTTAGGGGATCCTCTTATGCCTCCCCAAAACCATTTAGTCCAGGGATTTTGAAGCACTCTTGGGAACCCAAGGAAAAGCTAAGGGTCTTCTCACCAGGAAAAAAAAATGGACACCCAAGATTCTACATAAAATGTGGGGGTGTTCTCTCCCTAAGGTCCACCCTAGACTTCCAGGCCGGTGTCTCACAATGCAAGGAGGCTGCTCTTCCACCTGTGGGCAGCGAGCCACTCCACATCCCTGCTCAGGCCCCCTGCAGCGTCCACCGCCACCCCCTACCCTGCTTCCTTAGGGTTAGTGACTGTAGTGCTGGGGAAGCCCCTTAGTGACTCTTCAGGAAAGCTCAGCCCTGGAAGGGGCCGTGGAGAAATGGAAACTGATCTCCAGTCATTCCACATACAGGGCAAGGGGAAGCCCAGAGGCTGCAAGTGAGCCTTGGTGGCATCACAGCAAGGGACGGCAGCTGGGCTGAGCCCCACCCAGCTCTGCCCGCGCTGGCCGCTGGCCGGGCACTTATCGATGCCAACCTCCCCTGCTGCCCAACCTGTCCTCACTCTCGGGGAGTGGCTCCTGGCAGCCAGACCTTTGCTCCTAGCAGGCAGTTTCTCTGCATCCCTTATCTCCTACCATAAGTGAAGTCAGCAGGGTGGGGGCGACACCCCCACTCAGTAGATGGGGACAATGAGGTTGGGTGAGTGGATGGGACATGTCTCAGATCAATGGCAAGGCCAACCTCAAATCACTCCAGCTTGGAAAAACCTCCCTAGGCATCGGGACTGGGTTACCCAGGGACCCAAAGACAGTTGAGACTTAGGGCAGGCAAAGAGCTCTCAGGCTGCAGGGGACATGGAGACCTAGGGGACAGCGGTGGCCAGCACTCGGAATTGCAGTTCAAATCCTGGGTCCGCTAACGCACTAGCTGTGCGGGCTAGAGCCTATTGCACAACCTCTTTGGGCCTTGGTTTCTTCATCTATAAAATGGACACAATAATGATGTCAGCCTCATGGGGGTGCTGTGAAAAGTAAATGAGTTATTACATGGCAAGCACTTAAAACTGCCCCAATACTGGGCACTACGTGAATGATGGTTGCTACTGAGTAAGGTGTTGGGAGATATTCTTTTATAGGCATGGGTAATAGGCTCTCTAGTTGTGTTTGTCTGTAGAATGGAGAGGTTGGAAGACATGGCTTCAGAGCATGGGGTATGGACTCACACAGATGTTAGCTTGAATCCCAGCTGTCACCCACCAGCTGTGTGGCCTTAGGCAAGTCGCTTAACCTCTCTGAGCCTCCTTCTCTATAAAATGAGGTCTGAGCTCCTATCTCTGACCTTAACACGATGTAAGATCACCAGGGAAACCACTTAGCACAGGGTCTGACCACTCCATAAAGCTTGCCTAACATTATTATTATCTAAAAGTCCTCTTTCAGCCAAGAAATGTTAAAAAACATTCCTCTCCGTATTGGGAGCGCAGCTTAAATAACATCTCACACACCAAACCCCCACATAGACCTGCCACCATTCAGGGGCAGCCAGGATAGTTCTCATGTGAGCAGATGAGAGCAGTAAACCAGATATGTCTTTCCTGCCTCAGGGCCTTTGCACAGGATGGTCTCTGCCAGAATGCTCTTCCTCTAGTTCTTTGCAAGGCCTTCTCCTTTAGATGTCACCTTCTTGTTAGGACTTCCCTGTTCACTTTATCCAAGTGAGTCCTCAGACTCCCCACTCCAGTCACTCAAAGTTGAGTACCTTTGTTTGATTTGTGTGTGTGTGTGTGTGTGTGTGTGTGGCTCTGACTTGACCTATTGTCACAGTGACTAATCTCTCTCCTCCTGTAGACTATGGACACCACAGAGTAGGGGACATGTCTGTCCCAGCCCCACTGCACACCCAGGGCCCAGGATGTGTCTGGCCTGTTGGAATAAGGGAAATTTCCCCTCCCATTCTATCTCAGTATTCCTCTCACCCCCACCTTGCTCCTAGATATCACTGACCCCGAGACTGCCTCACAGCCTCTATCACATTTTATAATCCAACATTTATTGTTTATGTATCTGCCTTCACATTTCAATAGGGAGCCCATGAGGACAGAATCAGGACTGTCTCAGTCAATGCTGAGTTCCCTGCACTGCCCAGCACAAGGCCAGGTATAGAACAGACACTCCATAAATATTTGTTGAATGGATGACGTCAGAAATTTCTCTCAATTGAGACCAAAGATAAAGATCTTGAGTCAGAAAATTGCAGCCTTGTTCCTGGCCAAAGCCGGTACTTGGGGAGTACCGGTTCCCGACACCATTCCCACCTTCATCAGCCTCCAAATTGTCGGGGAACCCACAAGAGCTCCCTCACAGTCAAACCGGCAGTTCTGGGTACATGCCATGATTCAATCTCCAGAGGAAGGTCCAGACCCAGCCCAGGTTGGGGGTGGCACTGAGTTTTGGATAGCACAAGTTGAGGGACAAGTTCTCATCTTTGGGGAGCTTGCTAGAAAAGCAAACTCTCAGGGCCTATCCTAGGCTTGCTGAATCAGAAACTCTGGAGCTAGGTCCCAACAAGCTGATCTAGCAACCTCTGAGTGACCGATGCCCACGAGGGTTTAATAATACCTGTTATTTGTTCTTATTATGCCACTGACAGTTAACACTTACTAGGCCTCTGCTGTGCGCTCACTGAATCCTTTCAATCCTCCTAAAAAGGAGGCGCTGATATTATTTACACCCATTTTATAGATGAGAAAACTGAGGCCCGGAGAAGGGAAGTGACTTGCAGACATTCACACAGTGAAGGGGTGAGGGCGGCAGATAAAGCCCAACTCCCGAGAGGCCCAAGAGGACGCCTGTTAGACCCTAAACATGAATAGGTGGTTAGTTTTGCCTGTCCATCTCCTAATGGCCTAGGAGGTACCCGCACCTCAGTGGGGAGGGAGGGACACAACCTTTAAGAGCAAAGCTGAGGAGGACCCTGAGAAAACCCCCCAGTCAGAGGGGGCCCAACGCTGCCTCTACAGGACCCCCCTCCCCTGTTCCGAGCAGGCAGCTGGGCAGCTCACCCGTGGTCCTGGAAGCGGCCAGCGAGAGCGAGGAGAGGTCGGCGGACCCTGCGGGGGGAGAGAGGCGTGTCTCAGGAGGAGATAAGAGAAGCAGCAGTGGGAGGGCCGGTCCCACCCTGTCGCTCTCCTGATCCGCCCCTTGGGATCAGGGGCCTCGCCCTCCTCGCACGCAGGGCCTGACCCTGCTTCCGTCCCTAAGTCGCCGTCCAGTGTCCCGGTGTCTGTCCGTCGCCCCGCACTTCCCCAGTCAGGCCCCGCGCCGTCGCTGCTTCAAGTCGGGCCCGCGGGAGCCCTTTTCGATCTCAGTCAGGAAAGTCCCCACCCTCTTCCTTCCCTCGGGGCCGGACCTCACCCCGACACCGACGGCGGCGCCCGTCTGCTGCCCCCTCCGAGTCGGCCCCGCCACCTCTCCCGCGCCGGGCCGGGCCGGCCGCACGCCCTCCTCTGCCGCGAGTCAAGCCCCTTCTCTCTCAGGACGCGCCATCCCGCTCCCGGCCGGAGTAGACGCCGCCCCTCCTCCCGTTGCTGTCGAATCCGCCCCCTTCTCTCCTCGGGCCCTGCCCCCCGACTCTGAGTGGGTCCTCGCTTCCTGCTCCGCACGCTGCCCCGCCCCCTCCCGGCGCTCCCGGCCTGGCCCCGCCCCCTCTCGAGTCAGGCCCCGCCCCTTCCTCGCTCCCGGGGCCTGGCCCCGCCCCGTCCCGGCGGCTCAGCTCCCGCTGCTCCGCCTCCGAGCCCCGCCCCGCCCCCGTCCACGCGGGGTCGGATCCGCCCCCCTCTTTGCCTCGGGGTCAAGCCCCGCCCCCCTCTCACTCTGCAGCGGGACGCCTCTCCCCTACCTTGGGTCGGACCCCGTTCCGTCCTCCGCCTCCTTCCTTTCCTCTAGCACTGTGTCCCCCAAGCCTCTCTCCCTGCGAGCCCCGCAGATCCTCCTCGGCGCCCCCACACTCCTGCGGGGCCCCAGAGCCCCTCCGGCCCGCCCCGCCCCGGACCCCTCTCCCGAGCCCCGGCCCCGCTCACCCAGGGCTCCCGGCTCCGGCGCAGCGGACGGTCTGGCGACGCGGCGACTCGGCATGGCCCGGCCAGGGGCGGGCGGCCCGGGCCAGCCGCGACCGAAGCACACGCGCGGCGGGCGGCGCGGCGAGGCCGCACGGTCCGGGGACGGCCGCGGGGCAGGGGAGCGGCGCGAGGGCTGGGGCCGCGGGCCGGGCAGGACGCGCGGCGCCCGGGGCTGCGGGGGGCGCGGGCCGGGCCGGGCGGGCGGCGGGCGGGGGCGGGGCGGCGGAATTCCCCGGCGCCGCCGGCCCGCGCGCCCATTGGCCCACACGCCCGCGTTACGTCACGCCAGGGGAACGGGAAAACCCCCACGCGTCACGTGGCGGCGGGGGCGGGGCCGGCCGGGAAGAGGAGGCCGGGCGCGCGGGAGGGGCCGGGCGGCCCCGCTGCCCCTCGCGGACAACTGCGCCTGCTGAGGCCCGGGGCGGTCGCTCCCCGCCCCACCCGCCAGGCCAGCGGGTCGCCGGGCCCCTGGCACCCCGTGCGCCCGAGGGACGAGAACCCGCCGTCTCGCCGGCTGAGAGGGAGGCCTCGGAATCGAGAGGCGGCCGCTGTGGATAACCATAACCTTCCCGAGAGTTCCACGGTCGCCCTCCGCCTCAACTGCAAGTGGAGAGCCTTAAATGCAGGACTGTCAGCGCTAAGATTTCTGTCTGTCCTTTGCTGTGTTCCCCGAGCCTAGAACAGCACCTGGAACACAGTCGGTGCCCAACAACTGTTCACTGAACGAACGGATGGATGTTTGTTCCGCCCCATAGCACCTTCAAGTTTCCTAGGAGTTCAGAGCCCTTTCCACTGGCAGATGCACTGACTCAGTATGGGGAGGGTAAGCGGGTGGGCTCCTACTACGTACTGCGCAGGGGGCCTGACACCTGAGCTAAGGGCTGACCTGTGGGGCCTCTCAGAGGCCTCATACCTGCCCCCAGCATCAGAGGCATGTGCTAGAAAGAGCACTGTTGTAGGCAGCAGAGAATGAGACTCAAAGAGGGACATTGGTTGGCCAGGGCACAATCCTAAGCCTCCCTTGTTCCTGACAGTGCCTACGTGACCATTACGTTCCAACTCGGAGGCCAGGTACCCTGGGACCACAGAGGCAGGGTTTGGTGTCCTACGTCTGCTCGTCTAAAACCTGCTTGGTCCACCTCTTCTCTCCATGGCCCACAGACTCACCATTCATTCCACACACACAGATGGAGCACCTGCTGTGTGCCAGAGCCTGCCGTGGGCACTGAGGCACAGTATTCTCCAAGCCAGTCCTGGTGCCTATTCACGGGAGGCAGAACAAGGTCCAGCAGCAGTTCTCAAAGTATGGCCAGTGCCCGTCAGGTAACGCGGATGTTGGTCAAGTCGGAGAATGGCTGCCAGACAGCAAGACACAACACAACACTTTTTCTGCAAAGGGCCAGATAACAAAAATGTCAGCTTTGAGGCCTCAAGGGCCAGAGCACAAGAGCAGCCAAAGACAGCACACAGGACATGGCCGCGTTCCAATGAAACATGATGGATGCTGACATTTGCATCTCATATAATTTCATGTGAGACTACATATTCTTGAGATTTTTTTTCAACAACTTGAAAATGTGAAAATTATGGAAAACCTGGATTAGGCCTGCCAGGAGTAGTCTGTGTACTTCTGCAAGAGAGGGTATCTGAGGGTCCACAATAAGACTGCCCGTGTGCAAGTCCTAGATCACCCACTTACCAACTGTGTAGCCTCAAGCAACTGCTTTCACCTCTGTAAGCCTCAGTTTCCTAGTCTGAAATGGGTCTTCTAAGAGGCTGGCTGTGTGGATTAAGATACTAATAATCACTGAGCCTTATATACAGCTCTTACCTCCACTAGGCACAGTTCTAAGTTATTTGACCTTGGACAGATATCTTAAAATTCTCTGGGCCTCAGTTTTCTCACACTGCTCTTAGCATTTGACTTAGTTATCATGTATAGGGTAACAGGTCAAAAAAAGGCACTAAACCAAAAGCCAGGGACACAGCCAGGAACATGAGAAAAACCCCCGCCACCAAGGAGCTGAAATCCAGTGGAGGGAGACAGATGGGGGGGGGTGGGGGTGGGGAAATCCATGTCTGGTGGTGGTGGTATTACTGGGGAATAAAGCAGGATTAATGGACTGAGTTTGGAGGGCTCCACTTGGGTTAGGAAGCTCAAGGACGGTCTGAGATGACACTTGAGTGGAAAGCTGAAAAGGTGAGGAATCCTTGTGCATATCTAGAATAGTGTTCAAGGCACAGGGAACAGCAAGTGCAAAGGCCCTGAGGTAGGAGTGTGCAGGGTGTCTGAGAAACAGCAAGGTGGCTAGAGTGGACAGATGAAGTAGTAATGGAGGTGCGGGCAGAGTGATAGCCTGTAAGGTGAGGGGATGGTTAAGTAATACTAAATTTAATGGATAAGGCAAACCAGAGACAACACGTAGACTGGAGCTTGGTTGGTAATAAGGAACATTTATCATAGCAGGAGCCAACCTAATTTCTCTCTGCCCCTTGCAAATGTTAGTCCTCACACGGTTTGTTGGGTGAGTGAAGATGTAGTAGAGGGTTTCTGCTGGGATCTGAGCCCCATGAGGGGAGGATTGGGCTGTCTTGGTCCCTGCTGTGTACACAGAATGCCCGAGCATAGGGCCCCACATAAGGCAGGAGCTCAGGGAGCGCTGGTTAACAGACCATGTCGCCACCTGTGTCTGAGTGTGGGTCCCAGGAGGGCCACACTTCTGGACATGTGCATCTGTGAAAGTGAGAACTGCGCAAACCTGCACCCAGCAAACCTTCCTGGAGTGTCTCCTCTGTGCCGAGGACATGGCAGCGACCAAGATAGCCCTGGCTATCAGTCCTCACGGACTCAGTCCAGTGGAAAACAACGATCTGTCCCTAGATTGGGATGACCCAGAGTAGGAGTCCTGGGAGATTGGGGAGAGGAGGAACAGAGGGAACAGTCAGGGAGGGCTTCCTGGAGGAGGTGCTGGCACTGCAACTTGGAGCATGTATGAAGTACTAAGTTGTGTGCCTGGCATGGGTCCTGGATAAGGGAATAGCAGTCCAGGGCCAGAATATAAAAGAGATCAAGGCAAGTTAATGCAAGGGAGATGAGGCTGTAGGGGTAAAAGCCCCCCCTCTCTGGGATCTTCTTCACCAGTTAGGAGTTTGGGTTCTTCTCAGGGCGCTGGGAAGTCATGGTAGGTTCTAAACAGGGGACAAAGCAGGGTCAGGTTTGTATGCTAGGAAGTCCCCTCTGGCAGCTGGATGGAGAATGAATGGGAGGGGCAGGACTGGGCAGGAGACCAGGGAAGAGGCTGAGTGGACACCCCAGAGGGCAAAGTCTGGGCCGGGAGGTCACAGTGGAATTGAAGGGATGACTCCCAAGTCACTGTGGGTCCAGCGCGGTGCGGTGGAGGGAGGAGTCAGCGGTTTGGAGGGAGTGGAGGTGGCCTGAGAGCCCACGCCCCTTTGGGTATATGAGCCTGGTACCAAAGTCCTAGTGGAGAGCCTGGGCTTTCTCTAGGGACCCCAGGAGCCAGGGAATGATCCAGAACAGGGACAGAGGTGGGTTGGCCGCCCAAGCGGTAAGGAGCCTGCTGTCCAGTGGGGACCACATCAACTCTCTGCCTGGCTCTCTGCAGGGCAGGGTGGAGCTTGAGGGAAACTGAGGTGGTCCTCAGGCCCAAGCCCCCTCTCCTAGCAGTGTTGGTAAGAACTTAAATCTGGAATGCATGCTCCCAACCCCACAGAGTGCAGGGCTGCCAGGAGGCCGGTCTCCTCACCTATAAGGGGGGTGAACAGCCCCAGCACCAGTGGTCGGGAAGGCACATGGGTACTGGGTGCAAACAACCCGGGGATGCTGATGATACCCCAACAGCTACAGGGAGCCTCCACTAGGTACCAGACAGAGGCCCTCTCAAGGGGTCTGCCTGGCACTACCTTGGGAGGTCAGCATAGAAGCCCAAGGGGGCTGGGTGGCATGTCCAGAGCCATAGGACTTCTGGCTGAGGAAGCGGGAGGGGAATGTGGGGCGGGTGTCAGCAGGTCGGGATGCGCGCAGGGGACACAGCAGACCCAGCCCGAGTAGTGCGGTCAATGCAAGCAGCGGCCCTGTCTGTGACCCAGGGCCCATGAGGGAAGACCCCTCCCAGGGCTGTCGGGAAGGGGAGACGTGGTGGTGGGGGGACCCCGAGGGGTCGCTGCTCCGCTATACTGTGTCCTCACCCTGGCGGTCGCCCTCCCGGATCTGGGAGTCGCCCACACCCCCGTGAAGCAGCTGTCAAGGGGGCAGAGAAGGCAGGCACCGGGGTTTTCGTGTTTAAGTTAAACACCCATATGAATTTATTAAATCCAGACTGTGTTAAAGGGCGGCGGTCTGGGAGGAGGGAGATGGTCGGGGAACGAGGGACAAGGTGATGGACGGGACGGCCGAGGGCAACCCACAGAGGGCCCCGGCCCCTCCCCCGCCTGGCCCACCCCCCTTGGCAGCGCCACCTCGGCTTCACCACAATTCCCAATAGTGCAGGGCTGGCGGGACGAGATGGCTAGAAACACAGAGGAACAGACAGACAGACAGACAGACAGACAGACAGACTGACAGACAGACTGACAGTGCCTCCGCAAACAACGTGCCCTGGCCCGCCCCAGCCCCACACCTCACGCTGGGCCCTGGCTCAAGGGGGCCTCCTGCCGCCCTGGCCCGATCTGTCCAGGGAGAGGGCCACGAGGAAGGGAGGCGAGGGGCCGGGGCGGCGGGAGGACGGTGGTCACCAGGAGCCGGAGCGGATGAGGAGGACCAGGAGCGACTAATCCCTTTTCTTGTCCTCTGCTGGCTTTGGAGGGGTTTCCTGGGGTTCGTGGGAGGAGCTGGCCCCCTCGGTGGACTTGGCAGGCAGGGGCGTGGGGGCCTCCTCCCTGGCGGCGGCGGCGGCTGTGTCGGGGGCGGGGGTGGGTGGGGACGGGAGGGCCCCTGCTGCCGTCGGGGCCTCGGCCGCAGGGCCGGCTGCTGTCAGGGCCTCACCACTCATGCCAAATTCGTTCACCCGCGTGGGGTCGACGCGGTAGATCCACCGTTGGTAGAGGTAGATGAAGAAGACCACATCTGGGGGGCAAGGGCGGAAGACAGTGTGAGGGGAGCCGGTCCCCCATCGGGTGGCGGTGACTAGGGTATGCTGCAGATTGGGCCCGGCCCCCTCACACTAAGCCCCCCAGTCTGGACAGTCATCCCCCTTGGACCAGAGCCCTGAGTCCAGCTCTTGGGGAAGCCTCCCCTCGGGCCTCCCATGGCCCACTGGGCCTCACCGTCCCGCAGGCAGCCGATCCGGTACATAACAGGCATCTTGATGACAAAGGCGAACAGGTCGTCAATGAAGGTGTTGAGGGCCTTGTAGGTGAGCATGCGCCAGGGCAGGTGGGCTACCGACTTGAGCTTGTAGTTGATGAAGAGCTGGGGTGTCATGGTGATGAAGCCTATGGTGGCGGTGAAGGGATACCCGTGAGCGGAAGAAGGGGTGTCCTAACCTCTGACCTCTCTGACCTCCTTTCCAGTCTCCCCCCTCACTCACTCTGCTCCAGACACGCTGGCCTCACCACTTCCGACCTCTAGGTGCAGCACCTCAGGGCCTTTGCACTTGCTCTGCCTGTCACCAGAATCCTGCATAGCATCTTTCAGATCTGCCTATATATCATCTTCTCAGCGAGGTCTCCCTGATCACCCTCTGAGATGCACCCCTCACTTCAGCCCCTTCACAACTCTCATCACAAACTGTAACTCGCTTGCCTGCTTGTTTACTCTGTGGGTTCCCAGAGACGGAACTGAAATGCACTGTTCGTGGCCTCTGGGAAGCTCTCCCTGATTCCTACACTGGATCCGGGATCCCTTGGAGGCTCCCCCCGTGCCACACCCTGGATTGTCCCTTCTGGGGACACTGAGCTGTGAGCACTGGGAGGGCAGGGCCAGGCTGACTTGATCACTGTTGAATCCCTGGGTGTTGGGGTGGGAGTGGGAGCAAAGAACTGGGGCTCCTAACTGGTGATGCCAAGCGTGGTGAGGACCTGCTCACCAAAGGTCAGCAGAAAGCCGTAGAGCATGCTGAGCACCCAGGAGTACCAGCCCTTGTGCTCCAGGTACAGGAGGCTGTAGACAGCGTAGCAGCCCAGAAGAGGGAAGAGGATCCAAGACAGGTACCGGAACGCCATCTGTGGAGCACAGGGTGGGGCTGGGAGCCTGCTCTTTGGGCCCCACCTGGAATCCTGCTCCCGCTCCCCTCCCTTACCCACCAACACCTGGTCTGGCAGGCTGGTCCAGGGGAATTTCCAGGTGGCCCTGGGAACTGTGGACTCAGCCAGGAAGCAAAAATGGCAGGTAGGGGACTTGAGGGTGTGACAGGCCATCAAGTGTGGTCCCATCAGGCGGTAGGCAGATGCGGTACACCCCCCACCCATCCTCTAGCGGGTGTGGGTTCTTGGGGACCCTCGCCGGGACCCACTGTAGGAGACACTTACGTCGTCATACACTTTGGTGGAGGACTCGATGTATGTGGACTTGTCTTTGAAGGTTGGGCGGGGGAAGAGTCCTGCCACCTTGTGCTCCCGGTCCAGCTGTGGACAGGTGGGGTGGCCATGGTCAGCTGCTGGGCTGGCTACCACTCTCCCCACCCATTCCAGCGCCCGCCCTTCCCCACTGTTCCAGTTCCCCTGCCCCACGTGTGACCCAAAAAATCCCCTCGTGCGAAAATCCCCTTGGTCCTGGGAGTGCGGCCGGCATTGGGAAACCCCATGGCCAGCTCCAGGGTCTGGCCTGGCCAGACCACCCCCCACCACCCCTAGTGACCTCTGGAATGGCATGGCAGCCTGGTCTTACCCGGACGTCCATGACCTTGGTGATCTTCCAGAGGTCGATGAGGACCCCGATGAAGACGCTGACCTGGACCACGAAGTTGGTCTCGTTGTCCAGGATGTAGAGGAGGACCACGAGGGACTGGAACACGCCGAAGAAGACCGAGCGCACAGACAGGCCCTCCAGAGACTGCCGGCTGTTCCAGAACTGAATATCTGTGTTTGGGAGTTGGGGGGAGGCCCGAAGGTTGGGGAGCCTCCTATAGCTCCCTCAGCCCCATTCTTCTCAGACCCTCAGGGCGATGCTGGGTCTTCCGAGAGGAGTGTGCATACCCTGCTCCCTGCCTGCGAAGAGTCCTGCTTCACAAGTGCCACCCAGAGCACTGGACAGCAGGACCTGGCATGCTCATATGGAGACCCAGGGCGAGTGGGTGACGCTGCCATTCCCACTTACTCATCATGCACCAGGTCCCCCAGGCTGGTCAAGGAAGCCTCTTCCTTGAGATTGCAGAATCAGGATGACACTGGACCTGGGCTGTCCACCCAGTGCCATGCTGCCTCCCTGGGCAGGAAGACCGGGGGCCACCTCTCCAGCCCCTGCCCTGGAGCCATGAGGGTCATGGTCCAGACATGCACAGGATGCAGACAAGACTCTGGTCCCAACCCAGAGGGCCCAAGTCAGTCCCTCTGAGTTCCAGGCTCTCCATCTATTGGCCACACGGGGACAAGGCCACACCGTGTCGCTCCAGCTGGACGGCAATCACAGGAGACTTGCTCACCACAATGCCCATGGTAAGGAGGTGAA